CCTGAACTCCTTCCCTCACGGTCGGGCGGGTGGGCGGGAAGGGGACGGGATGAGGGTGCCAGCGACCGCCCCTCTCACCTCCCGTTCTGCCCGCAGTGCCCCCCCCACCGCCCCCCCCGCAATCCTGCCGTCCGTTGCTCGCGGCTCAGCGGGGCGCAGGTGGACGCACTGCCCGCGCTCTAGGTGGAGAGGCTCACGCAGCTGTTCCAGGAGCACAAGGCGCGCTGCGCCTTCCCCGCCCACCCGCACCTCGCCTTCCCCAGGGCACGCAGGTCCCCGCGGCGACTTGGGGAGGGGAGGGAAATGAACCGTGGGAACAGAGCTGCAACGTGTGCGTGTTCGTGCGTGTTCCTGCGCGGCCGTGCCTCCGGATGACCCTGGCACCCCGGAGACCTGCTCTCCGGGACGCGCGCTTGGAGGGCGCACGGCCTCGTCGGGGGCTTCTGACCACGGCGGGCCGGCGGCGGGGGCTCAGTCGGCGGGCTCCCCAGCTTCTCCTGAGACTCCTTTCCACAACCGACGCCCCACCTCCCTCGCACACTTCCTGTCGCCTCCCACCTCCACCCCGAGGACCTCGTTGCAAGTTCAAAGATCATGCTGGAGACTGGCGCTTCGGATCCAAGATCTCCCCGTCCACTCCACAAACGCGCACAACACACCCGCGGTTCCGAGGGGGCCCCGAGGGCTTGGCCTTCTCGGGAGAAAGCCATCCCGTCGGTGCCCAAACCTTCCTGGTTTGTGCTCGGGCCCCTGGAGCCCCGCTGGCAGAGGGGAGCTGCTGGCAGAGGAGTCTCCGACGCCCCCGCTGCGCCTCGCCATGAAAACCGTGCGGAAGCAGTGGCTGGAAGCAATAAGCGCCTACCAGCTCGTGCTGTCTTTCCTCTTCATGGGTGAGAGGCCTGCTGGCCTGGGGTCCCCAAGGAGAGCAGGGAGTGGGGGCAGGAAAGCTAGAGCCCCCCTTGCAAAGGGAGCAGGAGAGAGCCAGAGGTGGCTGGCTGCACCAGGGCGATCTGAGCGGGAGGAGAGCAGGCGCTGGGTGCGATGACCCAGCTTCAAACGCGAAGTGACTTTTCTTTCTCATCTTTCACCCAGGTCCTTTCTTCTCCCTTCTCCTCCTCTTCCTCCTCTTCACTCCACTCTGGTCTTTTTCTGTTCTCTACTTGGTGTGGTTCTTCCTGGACTGGGACACTCCCAACCGAGGTGAGCATGGCCGGACTTGCACTGGGGGAGGAAGAAGGGTGGCTGAGCGCCCCAGGCGTTCTTCCACCCACCTCTCTGCCCCAAGGCGGAAGGCGCTTTGCGTTCGTGAAAACCTGGAGTATGTGGAAAGAGCTAAGGGACTATTTTCCGGTCAAGGTGAGAGGTCACCATCCACAGAGACTCTCTGCCTCCTCCCTCTCCCCCCACCCGCACCCGCTCACCCCTGCCTATGCACCCCTGGGCTTTCTAAACTCAGACGATGGGGCACGCGGAAGGGGGGCCGAATGGTGTTCCAGAGTAGCCCCCGCCCCTGCTCTTGGCCCAGGGAGGACCTTGAACTCTGAAGCCTGCTTGGGGTGGAGGGAGACTCTTTTCATCTGCTGTCTTGCCGTGCACGCCTCTTCCTCCTCCTCCTGCCCGACGCCCCCAAGCTGGTGAAAACAGCAGAGCTGCCCCCGGACCGGAACTATGTGATCGGTGGTCACCCACACGGGATCATGAGCGTGGGAACTTTCACTAATTTCAACACGGAGATGAACGACTTCTCCAAGCACTTCCCCGGGATTCGGCTCACGTTGGCGGGACTGAGCTTCATCTTCTACTTCCCGATCTACCGAGACTATACCTCGTCCTACGGTGAGGCG